TGCCCCGGGGACGGTGGTCCACTGTTGCTTCCTGGGCGCTCTACAGGTAGTGTTTAAATGGAGGTGGGGGTCTATGCTCCCCCTCCTCTGAGCGCCCTGACTTAGCCTGATGCTGCCGGGGCAGACGGCTTCTCTGATGGTGTTTCCTTGCCTTACTTTATTTGGCTCATGTGGACTCAGCCAAATATAAATTTTTACTGATGTGTGTGCGTGTGTGTGCGTGCATGCGCGCGCGCGTGTGTGTATGTGCATATGTCTGTTAATGTTTTTAAACTGTCATGGGAATTTGGAGCCATTTTAATTCTGTAAAGCACTTTGAGTAGCACTTTGCTAGAAAACCACTTTATAAACAAAATATTATTGATTGATTGATTGATTGACTGATTGATGGTCTTTAGGGCCTTACATGGATAAGCACCATCTTACATTGGTGATCTTCTCAGTCCCTACATGCTTTAAGAACGCTGTAATCCACCCACTTCTTAAAAAAACGAGTCTTGACCCCTCTCTTCATAGCAGCTTCAGACCCATCTCCAAACTTCCGTTCATCTCCAAGATCTTGGAAAAGGTTATGGCTAAACAACTCACAGCTGCTCATGATGAACATAACATCTATGATTGCTTCCAGTCAGGTTTTTGTAGAGCTCATTCTACAGAAACAGCTCTTCTTAGGGTCTCTAATGACCTTCTGACTCGCAGTGATGCAGGGGACTGTTCGGTTATGGTCCTGCTGGACCTGACTGCAGCCTTTGACACTGTAGACCACCACCTGCTACTGGAGAGGCTGAGAGACTGGGTAGGCCTATCAGGAACTGCTCTGGAATGGTTCTCCTCTTATCTATCTGAGCGCTCCTTTTCTGTGGTCGTCTCCAAGTTTAGGTCCTCCACCACCTCCCTTACCCATGGTGTCCCACAAGGTTCTGTGCTGGGGCCTCTGCTCTTCCTCCTCTATCTGCTTCCTCTTCAGCAAATCCTGAGCTCCTTCAAAGGAATCTCCTACCATCTTTATGCAGATGACATCCAACTGTACATCTCCTTTAAGGCCCATGAGATGTCTAAGCTGCAGATGTTACACACCTGCTTAGACTATCAAAACCTGGATGGTGGGAACTCTCTACAGCTGAATGAAGATAAGACAGAGATCCTCATCTGTGCCCCAGAAAAGCTGGTTCCCAAAGTCAGAGACTCTATTGGTCAGCTTGCTTCTCACATCAAACCTTCTGTCAGGAATCTTGGCATGACCTTTGACCCAGCTCTCACTCTGGATTCTCATGACAGTTTTCTTGTTCGCTCTTCCTTCTTCCATCTCAGGAACATTGCTAAGCTGAGTCCCATTCTGTCCCGCTCTGAACTTGAGACAGTTATCCACACCTTCATCTACTCACGCTTAGACTACTGTAACTCTCTTTTCACGTGTCTGAGCAGAACCTCCCTGAACCGTCTACAGGTGGTTCAGAATGCCTGTGCTTGACTTTTGACCAAGTCCTCCAAACACACCCACATCACCCCGCTTCTCCTCCAGCTTCACTGGCTGCCAGTCAACTTCAGGGTTCATTTCAAGATCCTGGTTCTGGTCTATAGGGCCTTACATGGACAAGCACCATCTTACATTGGTGATCTTCTTAGTCCCTACACCCCCAGCAGGTCCCTGAGGTCCAGTGGTCAAAGCCTACTGGTTGTGCAGCGCACCAGGCTAAAGAGCAAAGGTGACAGATCATTTGCTGCTGTGGCCCCCAGACTCTGGAACTCTCTCCCCCTGAGCCCGAGATCAGTGGACTCAGTGGTCTCCTTCAAAAAGCAGCTGAAGACTCACTTGTTCAAGCTGGCTTTTGTATGACCTTCTTCACCACTCTCTCTTTATTCTGCTCTCCCCACCTATTCCACCTTCCTCAGGATCCACTGATTTCCCTCTTTCCTGTTCACTCTCTCTCTTTCTTAACATTTTTTCTTTTAAATCGCAATTGCATATTCTTGCTCATTTTAAATATATTTTTAAACATTTTCAAAATGCTTTTTTTCTATTTTTACAATTTTTATATTTTTTGTTTTTGTGAAGCGCCTCGTGATTTTTATCTTGAGAGGCGCTATACAAATGATATTTTCTTCTTTCTTCTTCTTCAGTGACCTTGTCGCTGTTCCTAATGCCTAGTGATGCAGAGGACCCTTAGCTACTTTCTTCTAGATATGTCCTGCAAATTAGCAACAAAATAGCCATTTTCGCTCCGAACCGTTCTTTGAACGTTGTTTCAGCTGTCATCAAGGATATAAATATTACAGATACAAAAGACATCAGTGGTGCTATAGCTCACCTAGTAAGACAGCAGACTTTTGTGCAGAAGACCCGGGTACGATTCTGGATGTGAACATAGTTTATTTAGAGTTTATTTTTTACATTAATGCAGGGATTCCCAAAGTGTGGTGCACGCACCCCCTAGCGGCAGCTCGCGGGTGCGCGAGGTGAAAAGTGTAATGGCTGCGGAGCTCAGAGAAGTCTGTCAGATGTCACCATTAGCGTAGCCAGAAACTCATTTGTGGGTGGGCCTAAGAAAAAGTAAGTGGGCCCAATAAATGTAATTGAAAACAAATATATTTTTGTGTGTGTGTCCTCCACATGTGCCCTAGCTTCATAATAACAACGCGCCGAGCTTTAGCGCTCTGGCCTGCGCACGCCGATATGTTCCGTATTTGATCATTTTTAATGATGTTGGAGGAATCTGAAGGTGAGTCATTCTGGCAGATTGTAATTAACACCCTGTCTCATGCAGGTGTTCTGACATTGTAAACCTCACACACAGAACATTGTGGATGTAACAAAATAAATCAAGAAATGATTCCCATTTAGGCTATTAACAGCACGCTGAAGATCTGAAGTTCAGAGTTCTTCTGTAAGAGGTCAGACGCGTTCCAGCAGAACCACGGCTCACGGGTGCACAAGTGAGCACATCTGGGCTGGGCAGAAGTAATTTTACAACATTGGTTTAAATAACGCCAATAACGAGACGCAGTGACTGGAGTGGCTCATGGAGCTTTGCTGCGCGCGCGCACACACGCACACACACACACAGATTCAATAAGCGTGCACGCTGCACAAACTCCAGCGCGCCGTCAGACTGAAGGCAGAAATGAGCGCTGCCTCCTCCGTGATAAAAAAAAGAGGTTTTATAACATTTTTAATTCAAGGTCAAATTAAGATATTAGCTTCTACTTTGGGATGACATATTAAAGTCGGGTCCGCTCCACCCAGTGACTCCGAACCTGACAACTCATGTTACTGCAGCATTTGTTATTCCAGTCCGCGTGGCAGCGGATCGCAGATTCAGCCACACCATAAAACAGCAATAAGTCGGTCTGAGGCAAAAGTGAACCTCATGGCTACAGCTTTTCCATCTTTTCCCCTATAGACATTTGATTACGCAGAAGTAAGTGATCAGCTCAGGTTTAAGCAGAGCAGAAGGAAGGAGAGCGCTCTGGCCGCACAGGTTAAACGTTTCTGCTTTAAGAAAACTGTTAAATTGCATTGTTTATATGCTACCTGGGCACTCTAAATATTTATTTAAAATTATATCAAAGGAAATTGTAATGATATCGAATGTTTATTAATTACTATTTAAAAAATGAAAGTGATGGGGAAAAAAGCTGATCATATTTTTTTAACCCTGTCTGTTTAGCTTGACGTATGATGTATATATATAGCCATGCCCTGATGTGGGGGCTGGGGGGTGCGTCGTCATGGTCGGGACATAGAAGGGGGTGCACGGCTAAATAAGTTTGGGATCCACTGCATTAATGGTATATTTTCTACAGTAAGATGCCCAAATTTTTATTTGAGACTCGCCGAACAGCATTGAATTCACAGATAAAAAAGATGTGGGTTCAACTTTCATTTTTGAACAATTTTTCAAGCAAGGAAAGGGAATGATATGGGCCTGCAGGAAGACTGACCCATCATAAACCTTTGTCGGCTGTGCTGAAGAGAAAGGTACAGAACCAAATTATTTAATTAATTAGCTGCACGTTCTCCTGTCCTCTGGGCCACCCACCCACCCACACACACACACACACACACACACACACACACACACACACACACACACACACACACACACACACACACACACACACACACACACACACACACACACACACACACACACACACACACAGAGGACTGTCTCAGCTGTTATTTTCGTTAAGGAGTGTGCACGTACAGCATGCGCGCCTCGTGCACGAGCCGTTACGCTTTTGGCCTGAGGGGGCAATCGCGAGCATTAAAATTCAAAACTCCGTAAAGTCCCTTTACATTTTTTAATCAGTTTTCTATTTTTCAAAATTTTATAATATTTTTTAATCATTTATTAAATATTTTAATTAAAAAATAAATTGTTCTTGTGAAGCACCTCGTGATCTTGGAAGTGCTATATAAAATATTGTTTTATTTATTTTCCTTCTATAAAAACACCTTTTAGTGTAAAAAAAAAGTTCATAATTTATCCTTGATCAGCTTCAAACAAAGTAAACTAGTTTGTGAGACAAAGAGGCCATGTCCTGCTGGTGTTTGGCTCAGTCCCAAATGCTACGCGCATTAAGCTGAGATGCATCCCCACTAAATGACGGCGGCTTCGACACAAGCGGACTATTATTCATCACAACTGAGGGTGTGTTTGAAGCGCCTGCAGCCCCCCTGCGGCCCCATTAGACCTGGCCTTTTGTCCGGCGCGCATCATAAACACATCAAAACACTCAAATAAACCCTTCCACTTGGCCCTTGTAGCACCTTAATCAATAGGACAGCGGAGCGAGTTGGCAGGAAAAAGCTTTTATGCATCTCATTTTTCAGCTGCGTCTGTAAAATCCCCCGGGCGCTCTGTCATCAAACCTGATTACGCGAGGGATCGGGGCAGTTAAATTAAATCATGCAAAATAAAAGCTGTCTTTAATGACATGGGATGAAATGGTTTGTGTTTGGCTCCAAACAGCAGCTAGCCAAGGGGAACACTCACCCCGGAAGGCCCCGACTCCTCCACACATCCAGGAGCACCAGCGGGATGTTGCCGCTCGCCGTGGCCGAGCCTGCCTAAAGAAACAAAAAGAGCAAATAGAGGCACAATGATGGATAGACTGTTCCACTTGCTTCCTGCTCCTCGGACAGACGCCCTTGTTTAGACTTCCTCAACAGCGATCTCTTTAGCTTCCCCGTTTAAGTCTTATTTTTATTTATTTTTTGCTCAAGGCCAGCTGTGTGAGCGCAGGTGTCACCATTTTCCCCTTCACAAGTTCCCCTCAACTCCCCTTTCTGCATCCATCAATCCAACGTTGTATTTACACAATACAGACGAGCCGGCCCGAGAGTTTTACATCTATCACCATGGGGAGGCAGAGGGGTGTGAGAGAGGCGGGATCGGGCCAGTCCGGGTTAAGTGGGTGGCAGAGATCCAAGATTAATAAATGGCAGAAAGAGATGATGGAGGGATGAGAAGATAAAGCTGTATTTGTCTAAGTGCTTGCACACTAATCAACTATATCTCAGTGAAGCTGGAGGAAACTGTTTGTTGTATCTGCTGTAAATTCTGAGTGAGGTTGACTGCGATGATAGGAGGATTTACACATTTTTTCTCTCCGTGTTAACAGGAAAAACACCCCTATTCCTTCTGTTTCTGTTGGAGACAGGTGGCTGTGAAATTACTCTCCTCGGCTGACAAGTTTTCTTTTCCTTTAGTGCTGTGGAAGGGTGGAACAGAGGATGGAGGAAGAGTGTGTCCAAAACACACACACATGATACACAGTCCCTGTGTAACTGCTGACATCTGTATTTGAGTCCTTTTCCTTTTCCTGACTCATTTGTGATTATTTTGTAATTTCACATTAAAATGTGTTTTTCACATTTAACTGGCACAAGCTGAGTAAAAATGCTGCAGCAGGCTGGTGATGAAGTTGTGGTTTATCCGAATGCTGCTGCATCATGAGTCCTCCAGCTGTGTCCTGGACGTCCGCCCACTTCCTGCTGCACAACACCATCCTTTCATTCCGCTGTCTGTGGCAGGGAGACCAGCATGATGAGTTCCAGCACCCACATTTCCTCCAGTCCATACTCATCCACACAACCTACTCTGTCTGGGTCTGCTGCTCCGGAAGGTTTTCCAACACATTATAAAGCACATTTTCTATTTTTGACCATTTTAGGAACATGAACTTCGTGATTATTCAGCTAACAGGAATGTTTTGCCTTGATAGCTTTTTAAAATCATGTGAGCTGGTAATTCAATGAAAAAAAAACTTATTTACATTATTTAATTATAAAATAATTTACTAATGTATATCTTTCAGTTTATGCACAACTTTATCTCTTGTGACCATTAAACATCTCACTTCAGAACTAAATGTCTTGCAACCACTTTGCATTTCCATCTCTGGAGACTAGCTGGTGGGACTGATGTTTGCAGCTACCACCCAAGACTGGTGGCTCAGGAAAGCAGACCCAGCAGCTGGAAGCTAGGAGGTGTGGTCAATGGAAGGAGGCAGATAAGTCAGATACTCAATAACAGAGACTTTCTATCAACCACTAAGAGAAAACTGTTGTCTGCCTTTGTCCCCGAGGAACACTGAGCTTCTATTTGTACGGTGGGGTTGACTTTTAGGGTTCAATATCTTACTTGTTGAACATGTGACCTGCCTAGGCTTAGAATCGAACTGCTCACCGTCCGATCTCTGGACAACTTCTCTTCACTCTGATGGTTGCTGCAACAAAGGAACGCAGATGGCCGATGCAAGCAGGCGTGGTTGTTGCCTAGAAGCTAACAATCGGCGCTAATGGCGTGGCCCATTTCTACTTTGAACTCAGAAATTACAAACTCTAGTTGGGAAAAATTAACAAAACACCCCCCTGAAGTTAGACCTATCACTTGAAAAGTCAGAGAACTTTTTTTTTAACTCCAACTTCAACATCCAATATGGCGGCTCCTTGGATCAACAACAGTAAGTTTTGGTAGAAACACGTTTATTTTTCGTAGACACCAATGTTACATCTGCAACTCTAAACTGAACAAATTAAAAGGGAAGGAGAAGAAGGAAACAACAGCTGTCGAGGGCGTCGCCATATTGGAATCCCGGCTCCCAACTGGAACGTTGAATCTCCGGTATGATGTCATTCCCAGTTCCGAGATCTGACTTTCCAGGACAAATGGAACCCACAATAATAAGCCCCATTCCCACCTGTACCGGGTCGGCCCGGGCCGGGTAGCGTAGGTTGTTTACATATCTGGGTGGCCTGGAATTTTCCCGGGCCAACCAAGGCTCATTCTCGGCCCTCTTCCCGAGGGGTACTGCTTCAGGCCGACCAGGGCCAACACGCCCACTGCTGACAGCAAATTCACACCTTCCATTAGAGCAAGCCTCTGATTGGTGGGTAGAATCAGCCCATTCACACCTTCCATTAGAGCAAGCCTCTGATTGGTGGGTAGAATCAGCCCATTCACACCTTCCATTAGAGCAAGCCTCTGATTGGTGGGTAGAATCAGCCCACATGGGCTTAAGGCAAGGATGTGTGGAACCAACCGGGCCAGGCTGGGGCCGACTGGGGCTACCCGGCCCGGGCCGACCCGGTACAGGTGGGAATGGGGCTATAGATGTAGACTAACAGGCTGAGTTGGTAGGTAGGAGCTAACGTAGCTAGCTAAACATTACGTCTACTCCAACAGATGTGTTGCAGCTGGGTCAGTGTTTGTAGCAGCGTTTGCGGTCCCTCTGGAGAATAACTTTGTTGATCTTGAGTACAACATATCTGAAGTCAAATGTCATGAAAACCTCACAGACTCTCAGACTACATGCACTGAGTTGACCTGGATGCCATGTGGATAAATTGAAGAATTAGAAATGGGTAAAACTGGTACCAACAGGTCAGGGAAACACAAGAACTGGAACACACAGGGCCTCAAAACCAGAGTCTGTAATCGCTATAAAAATCTGTTAATGTTACTTTTCTGGTTTTGTCTTGCTGACTTTATTTCCACGCATCCTGCCTTTTAGGTTTGCAACACATTTTCAGAATTCGGGGCAGCTTAAAAATGGGGCTAAACAAGTGATTATAGTCATTCTTTGGCACAAACGTGCTATCATTAAGCTGAATTTCTGAGGGTTTGTGTGTGAATGACAATTCTACTGATTCTACAGTCGAACAAGGTTAAAGTTATAATACACTCAATACACGTGGATCATTTCATTTGCTGATAACGTCAAAAATCCAGAACATTGTCGTGTCCTGTATGAAAGAGCCTTTTTGGAGAGTGAATCCAAACCGTGGCCATATAAAGTTATAACCTCAGCACAGACAGAGCCCTCAGCGGGCGGTTAGATTACAGCAGCTGCCTGTCAGATAATGTTTACGGGAAGCTTTTGTACCGTGCAGCTTCACCTACAGCCAACAGCTTCTCGCCAGAGATCAAGACTGTCGGAGTGTTTTGTTAATTCCAGTTTCTCGTTAGTTATGGGATGAGGGCGGAAATGGAACGCTGTGTCTTCTCCAAGGACTGTCTCTGTGTGTGCTGGGGAGGGGGGTAACTGTGAACTCACTACCCTTTCAGCACATGCATAGGACATGGTGAAGGAAGCCAGACGTACAGTTAGCTTGAACCAGAGTAGAAAAAGGTGGTAAGGAAGAGGAGGAGGCTTAACAAGAGGGACGGTGTCCTTTTGCTTCCCCTCTTTCAGACGCTCAGACTTGAGATTCAGCAACAAGTCCTCGCTTGAACAACAACCATGTGCACAAACACATCTTCTCCACACTGTCCATTTCCCACAGCAAGTGAAAGATGTGTGTGCACGTCTTGGTTCTGTCCCAGTCTGGCCCGGTTCGCTCTGCCCTGCAGAAATATGCTCAGACTGTGGTCTCGCTCAGCTCTCTGCCTGCAAGGCATCACCTGACAGCAATGTTTAAAAGATGCTGCCAAAAAGAGGGAGGTGTGTGTGTGTGTGTTTTGTGTTTCAGGGTGTATACCTTTGCTAGCATGATCCTGGTCTTTGCCACGTCAAGAGGAGTGGTGGCAAATGCCGCCACGGCACCTACGAAAGACACAGCTATCATTAGAGAAGCACAGAAAAGATGCATCTTCCCAAACATTAAATATTCAAAATAAACTCAGAAATCAGGTACTTATTTTCTCTTTTCAGCTTGCAAATGTTTTAAATATTCCCTGGCTTCATATCTTAACCCATTCTGGGTCAAATGTACAATTGAGTTCTAAAAAACGTATTCAGGATTTTTTTTCCTACTTGAGTTCACGTAAAATGAAGCCAATGCTGCCCTGTTTTCATGGATGTTCATCCATGACCCGACTGAAGCCTGTTTCTCTGTGAGAATCATTTAGTCTCACAGCTCCTCTTTTATTTAGGACATCAGTTATTCCTTGACATACAATACCTAATTCAGGGAATCCCACCAACTAAAATCCATCATATCCCAGTCTGGACTTTGTCGAGGCTTTTCCTCTTTTTTGTTGTTGATGTCTGAAGCTGAATCAAGTGATTCTCAGGACACAAACTTTGAAAGTCAAAGAGAGGTCTACTGAAACGGGGCCCAATCGACCAGGTATTAAAGTAAAATCAGTTAGAACAAAATCTAGAACTGCATTTTCGAGACAGCAAAATGCAAAAACAGTATAAAAACATATCAAGCTAAAAATTCCAGAAACTATTTGAACATCTGGATACCGAGCAAGATGTATTTACATAGGGATGCACGACATAGTCACACCCTTCTACTTCTGCACCATGGGTCCCCTACTGCCCAAAAAACGAATAGGAGTCTACGAGCCTATAAAGTTTATTTTCTGACCCCACTTGATATGTGCCATGGATTTCACATATGATGGTTGTGAATTTTAAAGGCACATTTTGATGTCAAGAATGTGCTTATTTTCGACAGGCGCAAACGTTATTTTAGGTTTTGAGTGAAAAATACAAATACATGTCTCAGACAAGGAGAAGAAAAATTTGTGAGTTTTTGTGAGCTTTGAATCCATCTTTCAGGACAAAAGGAGAATCAAACGTAGAGAAAACCACTATAAATCTAGCCAGGTGGTAAGTAGCAGCTACGCTGGGGAAGTCGAGACTCTGCTGTGATGTCATAAAAGCGACGTCTGATCTGTTGCTGAATATTTAGTCATGACAGTGACAGCTATCATATCAGTGTGTGTGTGTGTGTGTGTGTGTGTGTGTGTGTGTGTGTGTGTGTGTGTGTGTGTGAAGACATATGTGTGTGTAATTACATGTATGTATAATGTATTATTGAAAAATAATAGTTATTGATAATATTAAGATCCCGTATCGATATTGGCCCAAATTGTCATAGCTGTGCGTGCCTATTTTTAGGTAAAATTCAAGCTTTAGGTAAAATGATTTCTAAACTAGATGATGTTTAAGAGATAAACTCAGTAAGCTTAACTCAGCAACTGTCCTCAGTAATCTCATAGGAAACAATTTAAAATTAATTCATTTAATAATCCAGTAAATTATTATGTTTCAATGACTGGATATGTATTTTTGTTCAGGTTAAATGATTCTACGAAAAGCAGACAAAGCATTCATCCTGTTTTGTAACATTCTCAAAAAGCTCTCATAATGAACAAATGGCCGAATAAAGAATCTAACATGACGATTTGACGGCTGGAAACTTGAAGTCATCTCGTCTGGGGCAGTTCTCACAAGGAGCCTGACAGGAAATCAAGACGGAGTCTGCTGTAAGTCAGAGCAGGATGCGAGTGTAGATATCTGGGATGATTAAGCATGCCTGCGTGAGGATTTCAAGTGTCAAACAGATTATGGATGAGTGAAGGAGAGAGTGTGTGAAGTGCAATGTAAGGGCGGGCGAGCGAGTGAAACCCGAGGATCCCTCCTGGACAGCAGCTTGGTCACGGAGGGATGTGAACTTGACTCTGCTCTACCGCTCCACCTCTTTTCTTTTCCACACTGCCTGTTCTGAATCTTCTGCTGCACTGACTGAACATGAATCACTAACTGTAGAAATTCTTCAGCTGAACTCCAACCCTGAAGAAAACGATCAGTTTGACCGACTTAAATGTTCTCCTTTCGGAGTCCAGGTGGCGTGGTGAAGGTACACCTCTCGGCTCCTTTCTCTCCTTCACTCCCATTCCAGTATCCAGAGCAGCCAACCTCAATCTTCCTGTACCGCCTGGCATGCTGCAACAGTGGAAGAGTTATGGACTGAAAGCTATAAACGTTCGACAGCTGCTCTGCAGACACTTCTGCTTTGAGCAGTTCCCTTTATGGACTTGGATTGTGGATCTGCTGCTTTTTTTCAACACAATAACAAGAGAAGACTAGAAGCCGTAATGGATGATGTGACACTTTTTTCAGTCAGATTTACACTGGAGGCCATGTGGTTATGGCTCATTCTGTGTGTATGTGTGTGTGTGTGTGTGTGTAAAATAAAAACAAACCGATCTAATCTGCTTCCAAAGTATAACTAGCTCCATGAGACTGAGGCAGCAGCAGCATTTAGGGACATGGATGAAAACCTTCATGTCTTAATGGGAAACTAACTGAAGACCTGATGAGGTTTCACACTGGATTTCTGTCCTAAACAAAAATGACCCGCTGACTTTATTTAGGTGATTGTCTGCAGAGAGGTCATTAAGGAGGAGCCTGGAGGTCACTCTACCACGTTGATGGAGTTAAAAAGCAGACTGCATGCTGCCTGAAATCAGTGTTCTCCCTGTGTTAGCCTGCGAAAAAACACATTCTGTCCTTGCAAATGGGGCTAAGACAAGAACATAGCTTGCTAATAAGACTGCACCTAAATCAGTCATTTAGCAGATTGTCAAGAACTTCAAGATTATATCGTCTTCAGGTTGTTCAAGAAACCACGCTCCAGGACCGTCTTCTAAAGTTGACCCAGCTTTAGAGCCAAGGCACCACCAGTGTGCACAGTTAGAAGATTTCTGGAGAATGTTCTGAAGTGAAGAAGGACAGAAAAGAAGCCTCGCATCTCACAGGTAACGTCCAGGGACAAACTTATAATCTGCAAAGGAAGATTGGGTTAAAGTCATTTAGTCTGATGAATCCCCTTTTGGATTTTTGGGGGTATCTAGAAAAATAATTGTCTAGAGAAGAAAAGCTGAGCGCTACCATCATATTTGTACCATGTCACCAGTAATGCATCCAGTGACCATGTGTGGACTTCTATCTCAGCCAAGTGAGTGGAGTCACTCATAGTTTAGCTTAAGAATACATCTATAAATAATGGGACCTAAACATCTTCCTAGGGGAGCTCCTCCAGTTATCCAGTAACAGTTTGGTGATTAAGACCATCTTTTCCATCAGAATGTAGCAGGCTAAGGTAAGACCTAAGTGGTCCAGGAGAAAAACATCTGCATTTTGGATCCATGTCAGGAGAATCCCCAGACTTTAGCTCCATTAGGAACTTGTGGTCAATCCTCAAGAAGAAACTGGACTGACAAACCTCCCAAAGTCTGACAAGCTCCAAGCTCCAATGATGTAAGCATGGGCTGCCATTGGTCAGGTTATGGGACAGCATTTAACGGACAGTAGAAAAACCAATGGTGTAAACATCGCTTCTTCAATATAAACTTTATGGGATTATCAAATAAATCCTTTAAACATGCGAGATGTTTGATATCCAGTAAACCATGGAAACATCTGACAGAGATAAACAGAAAGCAAACACTGAGGCAGGAAACTTAGTTAACACAAATACGTGTATTGTTTTCTAATTAAAAAAAGAGTTGTAAACAAACTTTACCTGAACAACAGAAACCTGCTGACTCAACTATTTTCTCCAATCTAAAGCCTGGGCTACAATGTGTGATTATCTGCTGTTACGAAGGCCTGCTTCATGTCACACTGTGCAGACTCTACAAAACAGCGCAAGATTTCAGCGAGCCAAATGCACGACTTCTCTGTATTTGCATTGGCCGATTTCAGAATGGAGTAGTAGATTTTATGACACTGCTTGAAGAATATTGGAGGCGTAATTTGTGCTCAATGAGCTGTCACCGGGCTCGCCACAGACCAACAAATAACCCTCACATTCAGTTTGTTGTCATGACTGTTTACAATGAGTCTAGAACAGCCGAAAGATGCACAAACTGAATCAAATCAAGAGTAGATCTCTATTACATTTGCACCTATGAGATGTAACCAGGTGTGTTATGCAAAAGCGTCTGTGTAGGCTCATCCATAAAACCAGTTCAGAATATACCCTGTTCTTGTTCAATGGCCACTGAAGTTAGACCAGCTTCCCTAAGATCCCACAGGATCAAGCAGCTGTGGAAATTAATGAATAAAACATCTGAAATGAACACGTCACATCTGGGACGCCAGAGGAATCTTGTACTGCCGCACAAAGGTCGGCGCAGCGTGTGACGGTGTAGGAATCCTGACCTCATGGATAGTGGTTAGTCCACAGTCCAAGGAGTCGAGTGAAAGAAAGTCTTTGTATTTTAACAGAAGTTGTCGTAGCTTGTCTCGCTCGACTTCATTGGCAAGAGCATCGGCTTGGACCACGACCTGCTCAGTTTGGGAGAAAACATCAGAGGGAATCTCTGATGGGGGCTTTGAGCTAGGCAGTGAGCATGCGGTTTCCCCATGCTCAGGATCACCAACCGCAAGGCAGTGAGAGTTGAGGTCAGGAGGCAACGTGAATGGCAGGGGTTCTTTGACACCCGCCCAAAGTTCCCCCATTTCCAGATCGATAAAAGCTTCAAAGCGCCTCAAAAGATCAACGCCAATGATCAAAGGCATGGCAGCGAGCTCACAGATGTATGGGGGGTGCGTCAAAGTCAGAGGACCGATTGTGAAGTGGAGCAGAGACCTGGAAGACACGGTTATGGTAGAAAGAGAATCCACGGACACTGCACAAGGGCTCACTTCTACAGGTTGTACTCCTTGTCCTGTGCCCAGGCAGACGCGGTTAAAAGCAGACCAGCACATGAATGTGTAGTCTGAGCCGGTATCCAGAAGAGCTTTGCAGCAGTACCCCTGCACCACTGTCACAGGTACCATGGGCTTTCCCGCTCTCCCTTGAGGCAGCAGGTGTCCCAAGAACAGTTTGTCAGGCTCAAAACCCAGGGGCGCCGGGCCACTGTCCATGGCGGATGAGCTTATCATTGGTGTGGACGGGGTAGGATCAGATATTTGATTTGTTTCCTTTAGGCCAGAGTCAAACTGTTCCTCTGCTTGCAGCTTTTCCTCCATATCTAGAGGCAGATTTGCAGAAGAAAGGGTTAAAACCTTTTTAACACAGGTAGCCTGGTCTTTTATATCCAGACTTTGTAACTTCTGGTTTACATTAGAGAGTTGCTGTTGAATGTCCCTTTTCATTTGAGCTAGAACATCCCTTTTTATTTCAATCAGGACATGACTTTTTATTTCAGTTACGAAATCCATCAAAAGTTTATCCCTGTCTGTGGCCATCTAGGTGATGCCACAGTGGATCCAGTGGAAACTGGATTTAATAAGCTTTTGCTGAAGATTCAAGTCACAAGTGAGGTTTACACCAAAAGAAGTGTAAAGTACAAAAGATGCCACGAGATGGTGGCAGAGCGCCGGCAATAGTGTGGGCAGGGGTAACTTGCGTCACCCGTGATGTCTATCGCGTGCGTCAGGATTTCCTCAAAATGGCTGATCAACTAAACGTTTTCACAACACAATTGTCAAAAAACACCGCTAAAATGTGCTCGAACGCTCTCGGAGCTTGTCCCGTAGGAAATAGCGGATTTGGGACACAGACAACGCTGTGTCAGGCGGTTGACAAAGCTGTCGGGTTCGCGAGGCCCGGCTGTCGAACCAAAGCTAGAGTTAGTAGCTTGGCTGTGCTAAGCTAGCGGGACCTAGAGCTACCAGGATGTCGGTACAATTCTCTCGTAGAATTGACCTGCCCGATTAACGTCGGACCTACGTTGAGGCGCTCGTGTTAATTTGTCGGACAAATAGCGTTTAATGTGGTCCGAGACTCGCATGCTCTTCCGTTTAAAAGCTTATAAACGGACCACAGAAAACCACGCCCCGCGCCAGAAACGAAGGTTCTGATTGGATCAGAAAAAAGGAAATGTGTCGTGTGGCTTTAGCATTACATGTCATCAGTGTCTAGTGCAAATGTCCAAGATTGTAATAACTTGTAAAATACTACTGATTACAGGATTATAATATCAAGTAATAATATTGTCATTTCACAGATTGATTGAACATTGGGCTCACATTATTAACAAAGTTGTTGATCATGTGTTTATCAAAATAGTGTTCTTCGTCTTCGTATTGAGCTGTAACAGAGGTGAAGCAGTTCAGATGAGCAGAGTGCATGAAAGACCTTGGCCACTATCTCATGTAGATTAGGCCTGTGTCAGAGACTTTATGTCTCTGCTCGAGCAGACGCAGCAGATCATGACCTTTAGGTCAAAAACAGGACATTCATGACGCTACATATCTAAACAACGGTCAAGTGGCCCCACCTCCCAACATACAGGACTTCAAACATCACACTTTTGTGGCTTGGCTCCATATGTGTTGATGGTTTTACACAGTCAGCCTGCTACCCCAGTAGCCTGCTACCCCAGTAGTTACCTCCTACAGCCTGTTTGTCTTTCAGAATAAAGAAATGAGTCCAGATCCTTGAAAACACCAGAAACATCCTGGAACTTCCTTTTATAATGTTGTTAAGCTCAGTCTTTGTTAATGATAAGTCGTAATACAGAAAAACAACCAAACTACATATTGGGTTGTAAGCGCCATCTTTGGGTTTGGGACTTAGTATAACTTCCTCAGGAATTTGCTCAAACTCCTGATTCTGAAACTATCCTCCATCTATTCTCTCTCTGATTAGCACCATTTGTTTCATTTTTCTCCTCACATCATCTAATTTCTAGTCAGCTCCCTTCACCTCCCTCGCTCTTTTCCTGCTACTTCCTGCTGCCCTTTCTTTCTTAAACCACTTCAGGCTCCAGTGCTCAGAAGGTCGCACAGCTGCAGGGGCTCATATCCAGAACCTGGCCCCTCTCATCCCTCCACTTTGTTCCCCTGGTTGTCTGGGTTTCCCCCGACATCATCCAAGTCTGCTTCTGCTGCGATGTTCACTGGCTCAAGTGTTTTAGAAGTGTTGGTAAAACAATGCAAACTCCCTGTCAGGTTTTTAAGAAAAAGAGGGAAAGTTCCTGTTTTCATGATCTGAAGAGTTCATCTTCTGATCCAAAGTGCAGACGAGGTTGTGATTTGTCCTCAGAGCTTACAATGTGGCTTTTGGGAAACTCATCAAACCTCCTTGGTCATTTATTTACCTGTACAACATCCCCTCATCCCATCCCAACAGCCCCTCCACCTCATTCCCAGAGCAGCATATAATCCTCTGCACCTGCAAAAGCTCCGCACACTGCTGACTGCCAAGAGTGGAGCGTGTGACCTTGCCTCTGTGACCACAGCATCTGGGAGAAAGAGAAAAGTCCAGAGGGATGGAGAAAATGTTGTCGGGAGAGAGAGGGAGGGAGGGGGGGAGGGAGAGAGAGAGAGAGAGAGAGAGAGAGAGATCACCAACGTGTCACAGTATTTACAATCCACAGATTAATTATTACATTCTCACCACCATGGGACTAAATAAAAGAAACAGGTTTTAAAAGCCATTTCTCTCAACAGAGGCCATTCAGTAAGCCATCTACAATGAATACGATTTTTTATTATTGTTGTTGAATAAAGTATACACAGAAGCACTTCATAAGAGCCATGATGTTTTAAAATAATTCATTTGCAGCAAGATTACTTTTCTACAGTATGTTTCTGGATGCAGTAAAGAAAACATACCCGTATTATCGCTGGTTCTAGAAAAAGTTTTAAGTCCAGCTTTAAACAAGTAAAAAATTACATTTTTAAAATTAAAAATAAAACAAATTACACCTCAGATAATTTTTCCAAGTGCTATATGCTCAAGTATTATTTTTATACATTGATTTGTAGCCTTAATTAGATAATAGATGCAATAAAAACACCCTGATTGGATGTGGGGGAAGAACACAGCAGCAATCTGCAAACCAGAGGACCAGACATAATTTTTCGACATCGTTAGACATCTAATCTTCCTGTCCTTCTGTGTGTGACTGTAGTTTAGTGCTTCCACATAATAATCAAAATTTGGTGCAAAAAGTATGTAGATTTTTTTAAACTACTAATCAAACGAACCTAAAATGTAAAACTGGGTTCAACCGTTCCAGCAGAATTAAAAAGAAAAAACAAAGACAAGAAGCTGATGAATGTAAAGTTTACATATTAAACCTGAGAATGACTAAAGTGTTTTTGCTGCCTCCCTCAGAGCAACCGGCTACTGAGTAAAACCACCTGATGTTTTTGTTTAAGACTGAACTCGGGAGAAAAAAGAAGGCCATGTCTCTTCACACACACACACACACACACACACACACACACACACCCACCCACCCTACATGTTTAGGCAAATGGATGAGGAAAGTCAGTGTCTGCATAAAGTGCATGTGAACAGCTGGGCTGCCTCGGGCGCTGCAAGGTATGATTCCTTCTCAGGGAGAGCAATTGAGCAACAGCATGGAGTGATTACTAATATTTTCTTTGCACCCCCACCCGCAACCCTTTCCTAATCTGTGGCACGTTATCTCATTCTCCCTCTATCCGCTGCACAAATTTGGACATCACCTAAACCGTGTGTGTGCATGTGTGTGTGTGTAGGTAAACACTGAGCAGAGGGGACAGATTAAATAACATGTTTACCGAATCAAAAGCATTTCCCCGTCTTACTCTCTGCATCATGAGTAGAAAATACGGGTTCAATCTGGAAAAGCAGGACTTTTTGACCTTTGCACCCCTCGAGTTGAGGTCTCACTTTGCATCTGGATTAACAGAAAAAAAAGAGGTGGAGACGAATGTCTTTGCACCGTGTGCATCTGCATGTAGCGAGAGTGCATCTGTGAAAATATTCCATCAGCTCAATCTGAGTTCCCATCATGCCTTTGTCTGGGATTCCCTGGATGTTTTGTGGCCCATCGTTTGTTCCACCCTCCTGTTTTTGCTAAGTGTTGTGTTTGAGGTCAGAGAAGATGGGGAAACTGTGAGCAACAGTTGCTATTGTGAAAACAATGTGCAAAATAAAAACCCAACCATATTGTGAAATTAACAAGCAAATGAAGCAAAAGAATTATTCACAGGGATGCAGGCATCTGGTCCAAAAAAATAAAAACAAAAATAGGACTTTAAATCTCTGCAGAAACCGAAACGTAAACCTGACTCGTAATTCATAAAAGCCTCCCAAATTTTCAGTCATATCTGAAAAAAATTCCCCGAACAGAACAAAAGACTCTCCTCTCACAACCCTATACGTTTTTCCTTTTTTTGCAGTTTTCTCCCTGACAGCTGTGCTGGCTAAGTGAAACTAAGAGAAGAAGAAGAAAAAAAACTATGACACAGCACATTTCAAACCCAAAAAACAGATGGGAGCCCATGCCACACACACGCAAGGTTTCAGATTCCTTCACTCTGGCCCTTTCCTCTTTAAACCAAATCCATTTATTTTATTGTGAGAAAAGCCGTTGAGCGTCCTGGTGGTCACTCTGAAAGAACAGCAATAGAAAGCCGTTTGCTCCCTCCTCAGCCAGCCTGCTGTTTTGTCTAAGGAAAGGCCTAATTGGTTATGAGGAGACGAGGCCAGATTCCAGCAGATCAGCTGTCCGCCAACGGACGAGTCCAGATGGCCTGGACAGAGAGAAAGCCTTTGACCGAGGGACAAAGAAATACTTGTGAACGACAAAAACGAACATAAAAACACAAACACACGACCGTGCGGCGTATGGTTCATCTTAGCTCGACCGTTAGTGCCCAACGTTAATGGAACATTTGACTGTCTCCCTCTCTCTCTGTCCTTCAGACGTGATGTCACTTGGACAAAACGCTGTCTTCTCAAAGAGATGCGGTCTTTTATTAGCTCAAGGCCACACAGAAAAATGAGACAGAGGGCAGGAGGAGAGGAGGAATACGGGAAGAAACAAAGAGATTAATGCAGAAACACAGGAGGGAGAACAATGGATACGGGGAAAGTTAAGGCTGGTTTGATGTCAGCAGTGACGACCCATTAAACCGAGGTAAGGTCACTGTCTTTTTTTGTTGACTGCCACAATGATGGAGGGGAATGCTGAGGAGGAGCCTGCTATAAAAGTGTCAGAGGTTAAGCACAGCACTATAACTTTACTACGGATTTATCACCCAGAATAACTGCTGGAAATTACGCTACTGAGATAAAATAGCTGCACAATGAAGGCTCGGGGGAAATTAATGAGCCATGTTTAGTGTAAGATAGGGACATACCTTTAAATATTCCCAAAGAGGAAACTGCACCAGAGAGAATGGGATCTGGAAAAAAAGAAGAAAAAAAATCAGAATCTTTTAGGTTTGTCCCATAGCCCCATCAGGGATCAATCATTAGTTTGACCGTCACAGCTGGAAACATCCAATCGGCTCGAAGGGGAAGACAGACCACACACACACTCATACTATGGGATGCAAATACTCGCACATGAATGGGTATAGTTACTATAAACAGGTACAAATACAGGAAAAAAGCACAAGCTGCAAGCAGAGTGGAGCTGGATGGGGTGGGGGTGGGCAAAGAAATAAATAGTGACAGAGCTGTGTCATCACTCTTTGATCAGGAGGGAAAACTTGATCTGATCCATCTACAAGCTCCCACAGAAGGAGGGATTTAGCCGTGAGTCAGCCAGAACAATACAGGAACCACGCTGATGTCACTTAATGAGCTCATTAAGCACTTAGTCTAAATGTGATGAGCTCATAAACAAATTAGCCTAGCTTATCTACGCTCCAAGAGCGGAGTGATAACTCTAGCTTTTATAAAAGAGGATTTAACATGAAGGAAAAAGCTGTTAAAGTGACATATTTAACTATCAAACTCTTTTTTTTGCCTTTACAAACTCCTGAAGTGTTTTCGGTCATTGGATTTTGGATTTGTGAATCAGTTTGGCAGAATGTAACATGACACGAGTAGGAATTTATCTTTATACGCATCAGATTTTAATCAGGACCAGTTATCTAGTGATGAGAGCTTAGCAGCAACGTGTCTGATTCAGGATTTCTAAATTTATCACAATCCAGCCACTTTCTAATAGGGTCGTCATCAAAAAAATGATGTTAAAGCTGCCAATCCGCCATTTATCCATTTGTGTTTCTTCATGTTAGGATGATTAATCATCCAACCATCCATTTTCTCTTGCTTATCCTAGGTGGCATTGCACAACACATTCACACACCCGAAGCGGCTAAGTGACCAATGCTCTGGCACAGCGCGTTGCCTCCTGACGCATTGGGAGCCCCAACGCATCGGGAGGTGATGCGCTGTGGTAAAACGGACATTTCACCCACATTTAACCTCTAACCTCTAGCGATTTAACCTTCCCCTCACCCCATTCTAACCTTAACCCAGTTTGTCGTTCTAAATTTCCCGTTTACTGTGTCTGAGAGGAACGATACAACAAGAAACAAAGTGTTGCACGTGCAAGTGGGTTAAGGTTAGAATGGGGGTGAGGGAAAGGTTAACATAGAAAGAGGGTAAAGGTCACAATTCGGTAAAATCCCTGTGCGGGCGTCGGAAAGCGACACAGCACCTCCCAACACACATCAAACACTTGGTCACCCTTCCTCATTTTTAGCCGCTTCGGGTGTGAGAATGTGTTGCATTGCAAGGGTTCAGGAGGAAGCCCAGACATCTTTGTCCTCAGCAACACTCCCCAGCTTTCTCTAGCATTCCCAAGCCAAGAAGTAATATCTACAGAGAGCTCTGGGTCTTCCCAGGAAACTCCTCTCAGTGGGATATGACTGAGAAGTCTCCAAAGGGGCATCCTGACCAGATTCCCTACCCATCTCAGCTGACTCTTCAACTTGGTGCAAATGATGGAGCGCCTAGCCTCAGCTTGCTGCATATCTTTGTACTCCTTCAGTCATGGGTGGATAAACGTTCATATCTTCAGAATTTTTCCACGTTGCGTTCTGAAATCTCCTTGAACCGTCACCTTATCGTGGTGAAGGAGTTTGAGTGCCCTAATGATCCTAGGAGCTATGTTGTCTGGGGCACTTTGTGCCCCTGGTAGGGTCTTCCATGACAAATGGGTCTTAGGTGAAGGGTGAGACAAAGAACGGTTCAGAAGATCTTTCATGGATGTTAAAACAAAGAGTCGGAGTACCCGGCCCGGAGGGTTACCGGGGTCCCACCCTGGACCTCTGTGATTGTTGAGGCGGCTGTTGCTAGCTGTAGTCGCAAGGTGGCCGGTGCCAGTCGTGGTGGCAACCCCTGTACCTGCTGGTGGACACCAGAGGTTCGTGGAGCCGTCAGGTTGAAGAAGGAGGCCTACAGGGCGTGGCTGGTCTGTGGATCTCCGGAGGCAGCAGACAGGTACCAGATAGCCAAGCGGGGTGCAGCAGTGGCAGTTGCCGGCAGGGAGGAGTTTGGTGAGGCCATGGAGGAAGACTATCGATCGGCGCCAAAGAGGTTCTGGCAAACTGTCCAGTGCCTCAGGAGAGGGAGGCAGCAACTCGCTCACACTGTTTACAGTGGGGATGGGGAGCTGCTGACGTCAACTGGGGCTATAGCCGGGCGGTGGAAGGAATACTTTGAGGAGCTCCTCAATCCCACCTATGCACATTCAGAGGAGGAGCCAGAGCTGCGAGACCTGGGGATGGACTGTCCAATCTCGGGGACAGAAGGTGCTGAGGTAGTCAAACAACTACACAGCGGCGGAGCCCCGGGGGTGGATAAGATTCGTCCTGGGTATCTCAAGGCTATGGATGTGGTAGGGCTGTCATGGTTGACACGTCTCTGCAACATTGCGTGGTCATCGGGGGCAGTTCCTGTGGAGTGGCAGACCGGAGTGGTGGTCCCCATCTTTAAGAAGGGTGACCTGAGAGTGTGTTCCAACTATAGGGGGATCACACTCCTCAGCCTACCTGGAAAGGTCTACTCCAAGGTACTGGAGAGGAGGGTCTGATCGATAGTTGAATCTCAGATTGAGGAGGAGCAATGTGGTTTTCGTCCTGGCCGTGGAACTGTGGACCAGCTCTATATCCTTGCAAGGGTGATGGAGGGGGCATGGGAGTTTGCCCAACCAATCCATATGTGTTTTGTGGATTTGGAGAAGGCTTATGACCGTGTCTCCAGGGACACCCTGTGGGGGACGCTCCAGGAGTATGGGGTGGGTGGCTTTCTGTTAAGGACCATTCAGTCCCTTTACCAGAGGAGCGTGAGTTTGGTCCGCATAGCCGGTAGTAAGTCTGACTTGTTCCCAGTGAGGGTTGGACTCCGCCAGGGCTGCCCTTTGTCACCGGTTCTGTTCATTACCTTTATGGACAGAATTTCTAAGCCCAGCCATGGTGTGGAGTGTGTCGAGTTTGGTGGCAGGAGAATCTCGTCTCTGCTTTTTGCGGATGATGTGGTCCTCCTAGCTTCATCCAGCTCCTACCTTCAGCTCTTGCTGGGTAGGCTCACGGCCGAGTGTGAAGCGGCTGGGATGAGGATCAGCACCTCCAAATCTGAGACCATGGTTCTCAACCGGGAAAGGGTGGCTTGCCAACTCTGGGTCGGGAGAGAGATCCTAACTCAAGTGGAGGAGTTTAAGTATCTCGGGGAAAAATGGCTAGAGTCTCTTCCCACTGAGACATACGTGCTAGATTATGTGTGTAAGTTCCGTGAACGTTTTTTTTCTGCATGTCAGGCGGCCCAAGATAATCTAGCAAATTCACAGTCTAAAATGAAAGCACGTTATGATAAAAAAAGCGGTGCTTCGTAGTTTTGCCCCAGGTGACAAAGTGTTAGTATTGCTCCCCTTAAGTGGATCTTGTCTGCAGGCGCGATTTTCTGGTCCATATGTGGTGGACAGAAAACTAAATGACACTGGTTATGTGATAAAGACCCCTGATAGTAGAAAGAAAGTGCGCGTTTGTCACGTTAATATGCTAAAACGCTATGTAACCCAAGACGATAGTACTGCTGTGAGTCCTACCACTCCGGTATCTGTGTGTGCTTCTGCTTCTTATCTTCGTTCAGAAGATGGTCTAACGGACAAGAATGGATGTATTCCGATGGCTCGGTTGGGTAACTCTGCGGTTTTGAAGGATTTAGACTCCTTGTTGGCTCACTTATCATAACCTCAACGTGCCGATATCGTTGTTCTAATCGAAGCAAACCTGTTGATCTTTTCTGATCATCCTAGCCAGACCTCCGTTTTGGCACATGACATCATCTTGCAAAATGAAAAGCCAATAAAACAACACGCTTATAGTTAACCCTGTAAAGCGTAGATTGATGCAACAAGAGGTGGACTATCTGATTGAACATGGACTTGCAGAGTCCAGCACCAGTGCATGGAGCTCTCCTTGTGTATTGGTTCCTAAACCGGATGGCACCTTCCGATTTTGCACAGACTATCGAAAGGTAAACACAGTCACAAAACCTGACTGTTTTCCACTTCCTCGAATGGAAGACTGTATCAACCGTGTAGGTCCTGCAAAGTTTGTTACAAAGCTAGACTTATTGAAAGGGTATTGGCAAGTCCCTATGACACCCCGTGCTTCTGAAATCGCCTCATTTGTAACTCCAGACCATTTCCTTCAGTACACAGTTATGCCTTTTGGATTACGGAATGCACCAGCTACATTTCAGCGCCTGATGCAAAAAGTGTTGACCGAAATAGAACACTGTCAAGCATATTTAGATGATGTAGTGATTTATTCTACTACGTGGTTGAAACAGATGCAAAACTCTAACCAGCGTCTGATGCGATGGTCCTTGTTGCTACAGGATTTCAACCTGCAGATCCTATACAAGAGGGGTAAGGACAACATAATAGCTGACGCATTGTCAAGAGCTGTGTAGGCATTTTATTTTATGAAACCATCTATGTTTGTGTCATTCTTAGTTGTGGGGGTGTTATGACCCCGGTCATAAGGAATGTTATTTCTTTTATTTTTATACTCTTTGTATTTCTAGTGTTGTTTTCAGTGTGCCGGTGCCCTTCTAGTATTGGTGGATGATGGCCAGGGGACGTTTTGACTGGAACATCAGCTGGGACAAAGCTGTTAAAAGGAGCCTGATGAGATGCAGCTGTGTTCTTCATCCTCCACCCATTCCAATCAGCCACCATTTTGATGCTCTGTGTTTGTGTGATGCCCTTGTGCCTTTTGTGACTAGTACCTGCCGTTCGAGGATTCTGTAGGGGTGAACCGCCTTTTTTTCTTTGCATTCCTGTTTTCTCCTGTTTTGGATAGTCAGGGAGGTAAGTTTGGTTGTCAATTATTTCCTTTAAGTTTGTAGGTCAGTTGTCATCCTGAAGTTAGAGGTGTTTTGT